ATGGATCCCTCGAACGTTCTCAGTCAACGGAGAGGAGTGACGTCTCATTACTCAAGGGCTGGTGTCCGGTGGCGTGCCTGTTCAACACATTTGAATGTAACCCTCACGATGCGTAGTGGACATTGGTTTATGCGATACTCAGCACCACATAAGATTTACGCACAAGAGTGGGGAGATAGTTGAATTTCTGTGGTTGTTTTGCCGTCCCTGGCTGGAACACCGGACGGCGTGAGTGACGACATCGATCATAACCATCGACCGATTCCCCCCCCGGCCGGCACCATAAGAGGATGCGCTTAACCTCACCAGACATCCCCCATATCAATTGACAGATCCTAAAACGACCAGCTGCTCGCTCTCTTATCGGGGAATCCCCCCTCCCATTGTCATTACAAAGGACGTTTTGTAGGAAAAGTCTCGTTTTTTGGGCCTCCCTGTGCGACTCCTCGAAGCTCGTTGGATATGTCCTCTGCCTCTTTTTCTCTCCAACGTCCCATTTCCTCCTTGCTTCCCTTGGTCTGCCTCCTTCTACTCTCCCTCCTTCTCGTCACCACAAAGGCCTTCACTTGCAGCCCCGCCCATGCCCTCTCTGAAAGCGTAGGGCCAAACGGGCTTTGTGAGTGCAACCCCGGGTGGTACGGCCCGACTTGCGAGATATGCACGACGGACCAGGCATGTGGCATTTTGTTGAGAGACTCGGATGGAATATGTCGCAACGACACATTCACAGCCATCCGAGAGAGCTTTGGTTGGTGTGCCATTGCGAACGAGGACGTGACGAATTTGATCCATGGGGACGGCTTTGTTCAGATTTATTACGCTGCCAACGGCACCTTCTTCTTCGACTTCGTCAAGCGCCGTGGCGACGGCGACTATCTTTCTTTGTTCCGATGCCACAGCAAGAAGACAAAGGTGACGGAGGACCCGAAGTTGGGCCAAGTCAAGTACAGCTCGCCTGACCTGGTGTGCAACATGACTTGCGTGATTGGCAGCGATAGGACATGCACTCAAGGCCTCTCGGGCATTGTCGACCAGGTGGGGGCCAAAGGCGGGAGTAAGATCACCTGTGACCCGGCGGCCAGGACGTGCGACGTGCAGGAGGCCACGCTCGATCTGTTCTTGGGCGGTGTGCAAACCACGGGGTGCTATATGAGTGAATGCGCCCGGAGAGGGGAAACGGTTGTTGTCTCTACGGGTTCCTTCGCCAACATTGCTCGACAACCGCCCGCCCAACAAGTGTCGTACATTCTGGGTTTGGCCATGCTGGTAGCGACGCTCGTGATCTTGGTCCTGGCTTCGAGCTATTCATGGAAGTCGGGCGGGTTCTCCGGCAGCCATGCAGGGGCGGCGCGCCTGTTGGCAGGAAAGATGACGGGGGACAAGGGAGGCTTTGTCGCGGGCATGGCTGAGACAGACCAAGGGAAACACGCGGAGGGAGGAGGGCTACCCATGGCGTCGCCGGGAGCTCAGAGGTTGCGCGAGGAAGAAGCGGGCGTCTTGCCCGGGTCTTTGGGAGGGGCCGGCATGGCCATGGCCGCCGCTGCGGGGGGTCTTGGGACGCAGGGAAGTGGTGTAATCGGCGGCGCGGGGCTTGGGGGAAAGAAGAGCAAAGCCTGCCCCGTGGTGTGGGACGGCGTGACCTACACGGTGGCGGGCAAGCAGGTGTTGAAAGGCGTCTCGGGGTATGCCCTGCCGGGGGAGCTCTTCGCGTTGATGGGGCCATCCGGGTCGGGGAAAACCACTATGATCGACATCTTGGCCATGAAAAACAAGCGGGGCCAGGTCGGGGGCCGCGTGTACTACGGTAACGGCCTGAGAAAGGCGTACGGGGAGGACCCCGGCGCGGACGAGCGTGTCCGGGAGAGTGTGGGCTTTGTGGACCAGGAGGACAATTTGATGGGCACGCTGACGGTCTATGAGGCCGTCCTGTTCTCGGCCTTCTTGCGCCTGCCTGATCGCATCTCGGTGGAAGGAAAGACGGAGCGGGTGTTGCAGGTCCTGCAAGACTTGCGGATCGCCCACGTGGCGGACTCGATGATCGGAAGCCAGGGCCGCCGTGGGATCTCGGGGGGGGAGAAACGACGGGTGGTGGTGGCGATGGAGATGGTGAAGGTGCCCGCGGTCTTGTTCCTGGACGAGCCGACCTCGGGTTTGGACAGCTTTAATGCGGCCTTGCTCGTGGACTGCCTGAGGGGGCTGGCCCGGCGGAATGCGACGAACGTGGTGATGACCATCCACCAGCCCCGCAGCAACGTCTTCGCCGGCTTCGACCGGATCCTCGTCTTGAACCAGGGAGAAATGACCTGGTTTGGGAAAGCGAAAGAGGTGGATGCCTACTACGCCTCGATTGGCCACAGCATTCCCAGCCACTACAATCCGGCGGATTTCCTTATCGATGTCTTGTTCACTGCAGAAGGGGGAGAAAGGGAGGCTGGAGAGAGGCGGAATCCGGTAGCGACGGGGGAAAGCAAAGGCAAGTGGTGGCCTTTGCAGGTGTTTGGGATGAAGAAGAGTCTGGCGAGCGGATTGGAAGGCGCAGAAAATACGCGAAAAGAGGTAGAATTGGCCCATGGTTGGGGCAAGGAGAACGGGGCGGGTGTCGGGAAGGCGGGCGGGGCGCCTGCCTCAGAGACGGCGGGGTCGCAGCCATTGGCCTCCCGTCCGGCCCCTGGACCGTCGCAATCGGTGCGGGTAGACATGGGGGAGGAAGGAATGGAGGGGGGAGTAATGTTGCAGGATTCCGCCTTCAAGCACAACACACGGGAGGAGGAAAGAAGGGAGAGGGAGGACGTGGGGGTCTCCCCACCGACGTCCCTGTCGGGTCCATTCTTGCGGCATCACACCAACAGCAGCAGCAGGAACAGCACGAGCTTGAGCGGGGCAGAGGAGAGGCCGGATGCCGCTGCTGCCCACAAGCTCGAGCATGCGTCGGAAAAACCGAGTATCAACCCCTTCGCGGAGGCTTTCCGCCGCTCGGACGCCTACCAGGCCTTGGTGGTCGATATGGCCTCGCTGTTGGGACCTCGGGGGAAGGACGGGGAGACGGGTCTGGAGGGCGATGGCGAAGGGAGTAATTCCAGCGGGAGCGAGGGGACCTTGGTGACCGTTTCTCCCGTCGAACACTTGGAGGAGGACGGGAGCCAGGGGCTGAAAGGCGTGGATCCTGCCGCCAGGGCGTCAGGCCTCGGAGACCCGTCTCGGGTCTCGTGGAGAGCACGTGCATGGAAGGGTCTGCGTCGATGGTGCTGGGAGATCGGTGTCCTGTCCCATCGATCAGTGTTGGATTTGGCGCGAAATCCGGTTCTTTTCTGGAGCCATGCGGGAGCTACGGCCTATTTCGCGGTCATCTTGGGGATTGTGTACTTTGACCTGTCCATGTCTTCCCTCCAGGCCATCCAGAATCGTCTGGGCGCCTTTTTGCTGTCGTGCGTTTTCCTCTGTTTCACGAGCGTGAGCGCGCTTCCCCTGTTTTGGCTGGAAAGGAACCTATATCTACACGAGCAGTCCAACCGCTTCTACATGGCCAGCGCCTACTTTGTCTGCAAGGTCTTTTTCGACCTGATCCCTCTACGCGTCGTTCCCACGGTCCTTTTCGGGTCCATAACGTACGGCATGATCGGTCTCCGGCCCGGGTTCCAGCATTTTATCATCTACCAAGCCTTTTTGGTCTTGCTGGTTTGCACGTCGGCCCTGATCAACCTGATCATCGGCATGCTCACGCGGCACATCATGAGCGGGATCCTCATCGCCACCATCGTCATGATCCATTTCTTGATGCTCACCAACCTCTTCGTCAACTTCGATTCCATGAGCGTGAGTTGGTTGAAGTTCTTGCGCCGTGTCTCCTTTTTCAATTACGCCTATGAAGGTACGTGTCTGAGCGGAGGAGGAGGGAGGCGAGGGAAGGAAGGAGGGAAGCAAGAGGCGACGCGGTTTTGGTTCATGCACGTCGCTTTCAGGTCGTACATTGGTAATCTTAGTCATGCTGATAAGCTTCCTTCCCTTCCCTCCCTCTCTTTGCGCAGGCTTGAGCGAAAACGAGCTGGTAGGGCGACGTCTCGAGAACTTTGCCATCAGCACCGGGTCCGGCGTCCTCCATGAGCTTGGGTTTTCCACCACCGCCATGTATTTTGATCTGATGTCGCTGATGATCTACTTGTTGGTGACCCTTGCCCTGGCGTTCATTGTGCTCAAGGTATGCGTGCGTGAGCAGCGCTAGCAATTGAACATTATAATTGGAGAGGAGAGGACTATCAGAGAGTCTATGTAAGTAAAGCAGACTGTGCAAGCCTTTAAACGGATGGCCGGATCCCGAAGAGAGGAGAAGAAAGTGTGTCAAATGGTTGAGCAAAAATGATGATTTAAGTAGGGCCAAGTGCGGAAAAGCACGTGTGAGGCGGGTAAGTCCACCCCACACCCTGAAACGTCACAGGTGTAGATGATGAAGTACAATTGAAGATGGTCAAAGCGACACTGAGGCTGGTTATTGTTCTGTTCATTTTTCATTTGGTGATAAATTGCAGTAAGGCTTTACAGCGCACAGCTGTCCATATAAAGATTCGGCTACAGCTTTTCCAAATTCATGTTTGTATCTTCATTCCATACACTAAAAGGGCACGCTATTTGTTCGGTGAAGAAAGTCATTTTAGACTAAATAGAGAGGACAGTGGTCAGGAGGATACTGCAAGAACATGCAGCCACGACATAAACTTCATGAGAAAGCGAGGGCGGACGTGCGAAAAGCGAGGAGTTCTGCCTTCCACTCTGTCCACTAACACCTAGAACGAAGGATACCAGTCAAACACTGGAACATCGACCTTGTTTATTTCCATGCGGGGCATGAAGCCACTTGAGACACTTAAGTTATGTGCTGTAAGGGACTGTCTTTGTCTAAACGAGATACCTGCAGGGGCTCAAGGCGTACGTCACTCATCCCCCTTCGCGATTCTGGCTTTCTTTTAATAGCATTCATAGTCCTCACCGTAATTGTTTCGAACCTCAAACATGTACAGCTCAAGTCGAAATCATGCGTGGGCAGTATTTCGTCTTGCTTCGGCATGCACGTCCCCGCATGTTCGCATTATCAACATCAACAAAGCCGGCGTGCCACCGTCCTTGCCCTCCCCGTCAACTTTCCACGAATGGGGCAGGGAAAAACACACCTCCCCCTCCCGTGGAACCTCCTCCGCCCCAGAAGCCATTGCCGGATGCGTCAGTGGTAGAGCCTGCGCCTGGGTCTGCGTTTTACTACAAAGCTGTAGCCGTGGTGTTGGGCTTGGGGACTGGTTACGCCATCGCCAACTATACAGATCAAGGCCTAGGATTTATATGGCCGAATCCGAAAAGAGAAGCGACCGCTCGTGGATACACGACCGATGCCAGTGTTACAAATTGGTCAGCCACCCACGCGGTGGAGCCAAAGAGGTACTACGAGCCCAGCAGTGTCGAGGAGCTCGAGGCCCTGGTCCGAGACGCCCACGCCAAAGGGCAACGGATCCGCCCTGTCGGCACGGCGCTTTCCCCCAACGGCATTGGCATGGATGAGGAGGGAATGGTGTGCTTGAACCACCTAGACAAAATCATACAAGTGGATGCGGAAGCACAGACGGTGACTGTACAAGCCGGTGCCCGTGTCAGCCAGGTCTTGGAGGCATTGGGGCGGCATGGATTGACCCTGCAAAACTTCTCTTCTATCCAGGAACAGCAGCTCGGAGGCTGGACCCAAGTCGCCGCGCATGGCACGGGGGCCTCGTTGCCGACGGTGGAGGAACAGATTGTGCGGATGAAGGTGGTGACTCCAGCGAGCGGGGTGATGGAACTGAGCGAGACGCGTGACTCGGAGCTCTTTCGCCTGGCCAAGGTGGGTCTCGGTGCCCTGGGCGTGGTCTCAGAATTGACGCTCAAGTGCGTCCCTCAGCACGAGCTGTTGGAGCACACATACGTGGTGAACAGTCTGCGCGAGCTCAAGCGAGACCATCACCGTCTCCTGCAAAGCTACCGGCACGTCCGCTACATGTGGCTGCCGCACACGGAGAGCGTCGTGGTCGTGGTCTCCAATCCTTACGAGGAGGGAAAGACCGCCCTCCCGCCTTCCTCCCACCGTCCCCCTGTGCCTGTCGATGCGAAACTGGCTACCCTGCGGGCCCTTCTCCTGTCACACCCTGCCTCCCGCCTCTCCCCCGCCGAAATCTCCTCCCTGGGCTTCACCGAGCTGCGCGACGCCCTTTTGGGCATGGACCCTCTGGATTGGCGGTGGGTGGCGCGTGTGAATGGGGCGGAAGCCCGCTTCTGGGAGCAAAGTCAGGGGTACCGACGGGGACCGTCGACCGAGATCCTGGGCTTCGACTGCGGCGGGCAGCAATGGGTCTTGGAGGTGGCTTTCCCCATCGGGCCACTCCCGGCCTTGGAGTCGGTGGACACGGGGAAGGGCGGGCGCCGGAGGTGGTTTTCGCTAGGGCAGGAGAAGCGGAGAATGCCAGAGGCCGCGACGCCGGACTTGGACTTTGTGGACCGGCTCCGGAGGCTGATCCGGGAGAAGAACCTCCCCGCCCCCTGCCCAATCGAGCAGCGGTGGACGGCCAGCAGCACGGCGCCCATGTCCCCGGCGTACAGCTCGGATCGGAACGCCGTCTTCAGCTGGGTGGGCGTGATCATATACCTTCCCCCCGGGCAGGAGCCGGAGAGGCGGGAGGAGATCGGGACGGCGTTTCGGGAGTACGTGGAGGCGATGGAGCCCCTCTGCGAGGAATTCGAGGCCTTTCCCCATTGGGCAAAGATCGAGGTCCCGGAGGAGGCAGGTCGGAGGGAGCGATTGAAGGCGCGGCTGGCCAAACGCTACCCTGTTCCGGCCTTTAACTATGTCAGGAAGGGGTTCGATCCCAAGGGCGTGTTGGGCAACAAGACTGTTGACGTGCTTTTTGCGGATGGGGAGGGCCAGTGAGGGAGGAAAGGAGGGAGGGAGGGAGGGCGGCGTTGGGAGGACGCGGGGCGCAAGCGGTTCCAGAGGGCTTTGGGTTGATATGTGGCATGAGTACTGGTGTATGCCGGGCTCAGAAAAGGGTGATGTCTATTGGGCAGTGGGAGGATTCGTGTGCTACCTGAAAATGTTCCTCAATTCTTCAAATTTTAAATACAAGCACTACTTCACATCGCGGTCCACCACACAGACACGGCCACGCCCTTATTTTCTTGCTCGTCCTCCTCGCTTGCTTTCTACCGAAAAACGAGCCATCGCTCTACCGACTTTGCCTCCCCCACCCCCCTGCCTCTCTATTCTCTGCGCTCTCAAGGGACGGCTGGCCTCATGCAAGCCGCAAATGAATCCGTCCGCGGCCGGACCGCAAGCGAGCGAGCGCCCGCCAAAGCCGGCGCCATCCCCCTCCCCCACCCAGGGTCACTCCTTCGGCCCATACCCGTCTCGCCAGCCGCCAGGGCGTTCCCTATCCCCCTTACTTGAGCTCTTTCGCCGCGAAGACCGTGTACGCCTCGTTGACGCTCGTGAACACCTGTGCGGGAGAGGAGGGGAGGAACCCGGAATCCGTCAGCAGAAGAGACGGGACCCCGCGGGCACGACAGGGCTGAACATCCACGCCACGCCGAGCCTTCAGACCCCAGCCTTCCCTCCTTCCCTCTCTCCCTCCTTCCCCCCACCTTCTCTGCCACAAAGCGTTGCTCTGCCGAGCCCGTCACGTTCTTGTCCGGATGGACCACAAGCATGGCCTTCCTGTAGTAGAACTTAACCCGTTCGGGCGCCATCAAGTCCCCGAGGAAGACCGGCTTCCAGGCAGAGTCCGCCCACAGGACCGTGTGCATGGTGGAGAGCAGGCTGCGAATGTTGCGGAGCTTGCCTCCTGCCGCGGGCGGGTCGCGTGCCCACTGTTCCAGACGCGGCCCCACCCGCTGGCGCAAGGCGTCTGCCTCTTGCTCCTCCTTGGCCGCCTCCGCCTGCTTCGTCGTCGTCGGTTGCATGAAAAAAAGCTCCTCCGGTGTGGCAGGTGGGGGGGAAGGGCCCTTGGGGGGGGGAGTGGGGCCGCCCCGGCCGCTGCTGGAGGGGGGGAAGGAGGACGGGGGAGGGGGAGAGTCGTCTTCGTCAATGTCCAGGCCGGCCATGCCCGCGGACAGAGGGGGGCCTGGGCGGGGACCCGGGCTGGCGGAGTGAGCGCGGGGCGGGGGGGGGAGGCGGCAGTCCCGACGGGCGGAGGCGAGGAGTGGACCCGAGGGAGGCCCCCCTGGACGGCGTGCGGGGTGGGTCGAGACTGTGGCCGGCTGCTTGGCGAGCTTGAGGGGGAAGCAGGGGTGTCGCTGCCGGTGCTGCCGTACAAGAAACGATCCAGGTCATCGCCGCTGGCCGCGGTGCTTCCCGGGGGTGCCCCTACCTTCCCGCCTGCCTGGCGTCTGCCTTGTCTCTCGGAAGGTCTCTCTCTAGGGGCCTTCACCGACCGACCCTGTTCTACGGTCTGCGTGCTTGTTCCAGAGGCGGAAGGTCTCTCTCCAGGGGCCTTCACCGACCGACCCTGTTCTACGGTCTGCGTGCTTATTCCAGAGGAGGAGGAAGTAGGGGGACGGACTGCACTGGGCACGGCAGTGGCTGCCACGCCAGACGAAGCAGTGGAAACATCAGGTCTTCGAGGCGGCGTTGCCACGTGGGAGGAGGAAGTTGTGTTTCGAGCCGTCGACGCTGTTCCGCGTCCCACATCCTGGCGCATACTTGCAGCAGGTCTTCCCCCTCCCAAAGTCCCTAAAGGCTTGCGACGGAGCCGCGTGGTGGGCCTTGGGGGCTTGTCCAGGCGGAGGACTTTGACATGGATGGCGCCTTGATAAACAGGAAGGGTGTCCTGGGGATCAACGACGTCTTGCCAGACATAGCCGAATAGGTCGTCTTTGACTTTGAAGCGTGCATGGTATACCCTGTCCCCGCCTTTTTGCTGGGTTAGCGGGAAGGCACCTAGGAAGTGTTTCAAGCTTGCGGCCCCGTTTGAGGGAAGGGCGAAGACATTTGGCTCCTCAGGACTTTCTCCTTCCTCCCCCTGTACAAAGTAGAAACACCACGGCCGCGCCATCGCGTGTCCTAGATTGGGAACACAAGGAATAGTGAGTGGGATTTAATTTTGAAGACTCTGCCTGCTTAAGTTCTACCTCGGCAATATCCGGGTCGCTTTCTCCTCCTGCTTTCTGTCATGCGCCTGGGATGGGCCTTCAAAGGAACGACATTGCGATGGGTAAAAGAATGCAATATGCGCAAGAAGTAGAGACTTTTTTCAAAGGGCTTAGTTCATTTCAAACAATCTCTCAGTCTCAAAATTGTCTTTTAATGTTTGTGCTTCACGGTGGCTTGCCAGGAGTTTGCAGCTGCCTTCCGTGGCGAGGAACCTATACATGACTATACAGACGAGTGCAGGCACTCGTGTCCGAGGTACCTGTCGCGTATCGTGAATGGCTACCAGGAGACGGGTTCCTTTCCCAGCACCTCTCGTATCAACACCGTGGCAAAACTCCCTGGCGGCAACCGAAATCTTAGTTCCATGTCAATTGACCCTTGCATGCTGCTCCTTTGATTATCCGCCACCGCATGGACATGAGGGACATGCACATTGTCCTGCTTAGGGGTCAGGAAGGTCCATTCCAACCCTTCCGGCTTCACAAATAATGGTCGATATGCACCTTTTAACTTTCCAACAAGTCGTTGGCTTTCCCACGTCATTGCACTTTTGTTCCGCAACATTTCCCACATCCCCTCCTCCTTCAACAGGCGACAGCATTCTGCATGCATTGCCTCGTCACGAGGTAACTGCACGCCGTATCCGATCACGGGGAATACGACGAACGGCGCCAGCGCTGTGGCAGCCCCGTCCCCAGTGAGCTCTTCGGCTGTAACGAACCGCACTGATTGCCGCTTGCTCACCATTCCCTGGCCACCCTCCTTGGCTCGGTCCCCCTCCCACTGGTCCCCGCCCCCGCCTCTTTCCCGACCCTCCAGCACCACATCCCCGGCCATCGCCCTGAGGCCGTACCGCTGGACGCGCCGGGCCACGAGCCTGTTCCACAACCAGGCCTGGTAAGCGTTCACCCACTGGGTCCGCGCTTGGTAGGGGATCTCGCAAAGCGCACGTTCAATCTCTCCCCGCCCGTACCGCTGCAGGCCTCGGACGAAGAGCCGTTCACGCGTCATGGTGGGAGGCAGCAAGCGAAGGACAGCAGAGAGGGGCGTGCTTCGGTCCCAGAAGAGGGCTTTCGCGCGCTGGATGCCGCCCCTCCTCCTGTGCTCGCCTTGACTAGTAGTTATCCTTTGATCCGCTATGCTCCCTTCCTGTCGCTTCCCCCTCCTCGCGTTGCCACCTGCCAGCCCCTGCTCTTCCTCCCTGTCTGTCCTTTCTTCCGCCTCCTCTACCAGTCCGCCCTCGGACCTACCCCCCTCCGTGCCTCCCGCACCTGGAATGCCAGACCTTGACAATCCTATACCTTCGAGGCCTTCTCTTTTCTCCTCCCTTCCCCTGCCCCCCCCATCCCCGTCCTCATCTCCCTCATCTTCCTCCTCGCGCACGCCCAAAAAAAGCCGGAGGAAGGTTGGGAAGTCTTGCTTGAGGAGCGCCCGGCCCAACTCCCAGGGCATCCCCAAAGTCGCTCTTCCCCTTTCTCCCCCCTCTCCTCCTCCCTCCCCCCCCCCCTCCTGTTCTTGGCCCCTCGCTGCCCCCATACCCACCCGCTGGGCGCCAAAGAAATTGATGAAACCCTCGCTCGCCAGGCGCTGCAGCCGCCTATCCAATTCCATCATTGTCTCGGGCATGTGGGGCTTTCCGTCCTCACCCCCCTCGCTGCCACCATTTGACTCCTCCACAGGGCTTCGGTCCTCTGCTTCCTTCCCACCGGCCACCCCCGCGAGCCTGGGGTGGACGTGGCGCACCACCACCCGGAAAGCATTGCCTAGACTTTGCCCTGCTTGTAAGGGACGTCGGGAGGGGTCCTTTCCCCAGTCCTGGAGATTCCCCACGCCCACGCCCTTCCCACCAGCGCCGGGCCCGGCGTGAGGGTCTACAGCTTCCTGGAGGGGGGGGGATCGGGCGGGGAGGGATACGGAAGGTGGAGGGGGGGAGGCAGGCGCCCCGACATTCCCGGGGAAGAGGAGCGAGGCCTTTGATACACCCCGTCGAAATGCGTCGAGCGCGTCTGGAGTTCCAGGTATGCTGGCAGTAACGTACTGGTAGGTGATGGCACGCTTGTCCTTGACCCCCGCGGTGGCCAGGGAAGTGGAGAGGGAAAGCCCCCACGCTCGGCCCACTCGCTGCAAAGCCTCCAAATGCTCCACGTTCCTCTTGCACAGGACAAAACGGGCGAGAAATCCGTGCGTACCCGCCATATCGGCGTTGCCGGGGCTGTGACCGGACGTGGAAGAAGCACAGGAGAATTCACTCCGACGCCTTTTTTTCTTTTCCTGGCGCCCTGACGCGGGTTTCCAGACCACGATGACATGAATATTGTTGCGGGAGATGCACTGCAGGGCTGGGGAGTGTTTCGTGATCAATTCGTGCGCCTGCTTGCGAGCATCTCGGTCGAGGCCCCCTCCCAGCCTGACACCCGCCTGAGTCTCTGGCCCGGGGTCCGAGGGACCTCGGCCCATGTACGCCAGAAGATCCAGGACGTGGGAGAGAGTTACTCCCTGGAGCTGAAGCAGAGCATTGGCAAGGGTGATTTTCGGAGTGTCTTTGGAGGCACGCAGGAGGGAGGGAGCATGCGGGTGTTGGCAAGTGGACAGCCCAGGAAAACAGGCTCGGAGAGACCGGTGCAACATCCCCCGGGCAGCCCGGTCGGACGGGAGAGGGATGTTGATTTCATCTTCCAGGCGCTCGATTTCTTGTGCTTTCTCACCACATCCCGTATGTTTTCCCTCACCGACTTCACTCTCCGTGCCTTTTCCAGCTTGCGAGTATGGCGTGGTGGGGACCAGCACCTCAAGGACGCTCCGTCGATGGAGTGACTCAAGCGCTTTTAAAAGCTCCATACCATATCTACTTATCAATTCTTCTCTCCCATAACATGGGGGGAGCAAGTGCGATGATCGCACGGCCAAAGCGGTGCTTGAGGTATTCAGTGTAACGTCGTGCCCCAGTGCGGCTTCAGCCGTCGCACCTTTCCTAATGGCAAATTCCCATGACGCTGGAAACTTTGCTGGAGTTGTAATGTCTGCCACAATGCCTTCTAGGTCGATTTCACGCACCTCAAAGTCCTGAGGATGACGTTTGATAATTGCGTTGAACTTCGTGCGGCTGAAGGGAAAGGGAGAGGCAGGAGGTTGACCTGGCTTGCGGGCTTCATAGTGCAGGCCGTTCATTTAGTTTTGGGTCCGCCCATAAAGAACATCAGGTCACTCTGTAATGCAGATTCGAGCATTTAGATAAATGGTTCATTATAACATGGCGTTCCATCCCACCTCACGCTGGAAAAAGACGTGACTGGAGCTTCTGCCACGCGATCTCGCCGACGATGTAATTTTTAGAATGCTCTCTTGTTTAGGTCCTTCTGTCTGAGATATATTTTTTAAATTTTGTTTTCAATCTGACAATTCCAGTACGTAAGAGCCTTTCGAACATCACGCTCCTTCCTTTTTCCCCAACTACGACGTGTCTTGAAGACTTGATTTCGCGCTAGCAGCTCACCGCTATAGATCTTTTCCTTACCATCCCAGTACTTTGTGTCCATAATAGCACAAAAATGGTGTTCTAGCTATTCTGTCCATTTCCTTGCAAGTCAGTTGTCTTCGTATTGATATTGCTTGCGTGAAATTGAGTCAGGACCTCAACACAAGTTGAATGTGCATTTCAAGTTGACGAAAAAATCATTACTTTTACACGGTAAATAAGAATCTCAATCACCTCGATGAGCTGTATCAGGCAAGTGTACAATATTGATGGAAGTGGTCGGAAGATGTGTGGGAGAGGTGCGGTGAAGTGAGTGTGCTCGAGATGATTGGGGCGAAAGCGTGGACGAGGAGATTGAACAGATGGCGCTTAAGAAAGAAAGTCACGAACTGTAAATGTTATACGTCTTTTACCACAACAGAGTGCTTAGTGTCTCAGAGAGGGAACATCATTTCATAGTACACTTGGTACGTCGAACGGAAGAAGGAAAATGGTCGAATAGAATTTTCAAGAAGTGAACGACGCCTGGATGCAGAAGAGCGATCTCTCGTACCACAATCGTTTTAAGAATATGTAATGTTTATGTAGCGCATCTACAAGCAGTTCAGAACGATCTGCAAGGAAGCTATCAACAACGCATTTATTTGCCTGGCTTCCGAAAGAAATGTACCTTGTAAATATTTAGTTGTGCTGAGACGACAAAGGAGTAAAAGGCAGTTTTGTTCAGTTTTCGGATCTCTCAATTAGCAATGTAGATGAACATTGCAAACTCATTACAGTTTACTTATTTTCTCCTTTTCGGTTGCGCAATAATAATATCCATCAATTCGCACCCTCAAACTAGCCAGGTCTCGACCGCCCACTTTCCGTTTTGAGGAGGTTACACTTATCCCTGCTATTAAAGCGAGAAAGACATGCACTAGTATTCTACTCACTATGTGAAAAGAAATTGAAATATATATTTCGACGACCATAATTCGCGAGAGAGAGATGTAAGCCAAACACATGCACTACATAAATTGATTTCTGCGGAGAATGATCAGAGTACTGTGACTGACGCCCGTGATCGTGGTAAGATATACGAAGATTTCTTAAGATGACTCTACAAATATGTACGCTACAATATTTCTCTTAATAACACAATCTTTTCATATGCTACATAAAAATGTCAGTTCAAACACACGTTCACCAAGAACTCTGTTGTCGGCTAGAAAAGCGAACATGAACAGAAAAATAAGCTATCTGACCTCATAAAAGTATAAGGCCCCAATTTCCTCATTCCATCTCAAGGTATTGGCAAAGTCCACACTTGTAGAACAGAAAAGCAACCGAGGCGAGTGTCCGTGCCTTCGTTTTTCGTGCGGGATGTCCATTTCACTGATGCTTCTTCAACGATCCTCGTTGAACTTGGCCCTCTTGTTCTTGTTCTTGCAGCTG